TATTAAAAGAAGTTCCAAGATTGATACCACAATTATTTCAACTTCAAACAGTTAATGTGAATCTTAAATGTTTTATCAGCAGGTATTTAATTGTTTGTGTTATATTATTTCAACATTTGAATTACATCTTCTAAATAGAATACAATAAATGAAGGTTTTGTTTTTAATTTTTTTTCACTTCGATTGCCCCAAAAGTTTGGTCTCTCAGCAGGATGTTAAACTTACCATGTATTTACTCAATAGCAATGTAAAGACATTTTATTTAAAAACAATATTTTCATAAAAAATCAAAATGGAGTTGCAACATCTAGCACTGAGTTAGCTGAAACCTCTTCTTTGCGTTGGGGTTTCTAGATCATTTGTCTGCAGTGAACATATTCTGTCGTCCATTTTGCGACGTTCTATGCGTAACACTTAATTTCTCAGTATGTGAAACGTTCATATAGGGTAAAATACGAAGAAAAACAAGTAAAAGTAATTAAACGTAGGCTTCCTTAATTAGTGAAATCACTGAATCTTGGTGAGAAATGCAATCCCTCCGTAAGTTTGAGAAAGAACAATAGACTTACGGATCCGTAGTTTTACGGAGTTTGGAGAAATAGACCCCAGGGCCCCGTTTTTGTACCGTTCGTAGTAACGAACGATCGCAAGTTTCGTAAGTTATTCGTAACTTTCCAATTGTTTAGAGTAAGATTTACGAATAGGTTGACGTCATATTCCACAGTTGCCAGGACAGGTAGTACAACAAACAGGGTTGATCAAAATAATAAAACCAAAGTCATACAATAAGGACTTTATAAAAATAAAGATTCCATGAAAAGTACTACTGAATAATTTTTAAGTAATTTTTAAGTAATTGATTTATGGTGAATTTACTAATGCAAGGAGAGAAATTGAAATACTTACTGTAGTAATTGAAATACTCCTCATTTACATAATTAAGCAATTAGAAAACTCAAAATGACAATATAAGTTAAACCTAAGTAAAATGAAGTAAAACTAAGTATTTAACTTTAAGTAATTTTTATACTTGGGAAATACTTGGGAAATACTCAAGTAATTCATTTTTAAGAGTGTTTTCTGATTTAGAATGACAAAACGTCACAAATCACAATATAAATGAATAAATAAGAGGCCGTTCGCAAAGTTACGAAAGGGTCATAGGTGGTATTAAATCTACGAACGAAAACAGGCATGACGTCACTATTTTCGTAAATTTACGAATCGTTCGTAGCTTACGAAATCTTACGAAAATGCATTTACGAACGCTCGTTAGTAAGAACGGTACAACAACGGGTCCCAGACGAGTTAATTTGAAACACTCTTGTTTCAGATTATACACTTTTATCAGGATAATTGCTCGTTATAAAAAACAGTCAAGTTCACCAGCACAAGTGGACTATGCCATATAGACTTCTCTAGTAACCCTATCGTATCATATTCATGTGTATTGCAATTAACATGCGAATTTCAAGGTCGATAAGAAAACGTTTTGTTGATTTTGTTAATCGTATTCATCTGGTCCATGTGAACTAAATATCATAAATTAACTTTAGTATATATAAATTTTATTCATTTGACAATTAATATCTATAAAGCCAATACAACATAGTAGTGATATGATGATAAAACTGTACATCTTAAAAAGTCTAATACATGATACCCTGAGTATGTGGGCGTATAAATAAATAGTACGAATCACCAGGTATACTTTGAAGAATGTTACATCAATACAAGCAGTACAGTAGGGGAATTAGAAATTGGTATTGGAATTGTACAAAGTGTCGCAAGTACTATTTGTATTTCCCGACACTCGTTTTTACTTACACTTTGTGTACATACGTTAGAAGGTTTAACGTTTTCAAATAAAAAATCTCAGAGAGACTTCTTTTTGGGATACAACTTTTTGATTGCATACCAAACCGGTGTAGGACATGTACATTGTTTTCGCTCATGCTAGTTTGACACCAATTGAGTGGAGGTTTCTTGTCGAAGCAGAAATCTCTTCTGTTTCCTTGAAGTTTCCTTGAAGTCCAATCGTGTTGTTGTTCCAGCTACATGTACAGTAGGTCATTAAAAGGAGACAGCAAAATAAAAATGCTCACTTTTCGACCAAAAAACATACAAAAATCGCGATTGTGTATAATTAGTTCATTAATAAAATGCAACTTATCTTACCCCAGAGAATGCGATACCCTAACACCCCATTCCACTCCGTCGTAGACGACACAATTATTGCCGATCATGAAAGTGTAGCCAATGTCAGGCCAATCAAAAATGAGATATTATTAATGATTGGATTGACTTCTTTAGTTTTGCACTGCTTTTGAATACTCATGCCAATGGCGGATCAAGGAGCTAACATGGGGGATGGGCAAATTTTGAGTTCAAAGGTTTTGAACACTGAAGGCCCATTTTAAGAAAGTTTGGCGTAAAAAAGCCAAATTATGCCAAAAGGGGCCATTTTTTTGAGGCCCTACAATTTTTGCACCCCCCCCTCCTTATATCAGCCACTGCATGCTTCAGGTCGGGAACATCAGATATTGATATTACACATGGATCCCGGACATTCTCAATAAAACTGAGATCGTTCATTGAATAGTTGGTCAAATTCGTCTTGCCTTAGGTCTCTTTTTGATTTGTGTATAAGCCGATGACGTAAATGGCGCAATCTGATGGCGTCATGCTCTGACTTGAGCTTGTCCTCTTGTGGATACTTGGGTCAAAGACATAGGGGTCCGCAGTACAAGATGGCGGGTACAGGGGTATAGACTGTTAAACTGATTTTGTGTCAGTACTTCTTTTTTCTAAGCAAGCGAAATTGCATTTTATAATGTTAGCTGTGTAACACATCGAATGTGTTGTCAAGAAGGTAAGTTATTCAGTAAATAGTTTCGGATCTGCTCGGTGCTTTCTTTTAACAATAAACAGAACAATCGCCCGTAATAAAACCCAGAACATCAGCAAACAAAAAAACACCCTCTACATGGTAACATCCTTTAATGTTTTACAAAATGGACTCAATTCATTTTTCTCTTTTTGTTTGCGATATTTTCAAACAAGGTTTCTTGAGAAACACACATTAACAAAAAAACTAAAATTACAAAAAATTGCTTTAAAATTGTGACTCCTCTGTTGGATTTTTAGACGACACCATATTGCGGTTGAAAAATAATTTACCTATTATGTGTTCGGTTGTGATTCAAATATTAATCGTATGATATATAAGAGACCAATGCTCATGCTACCGGTTTTCAAAGAAATCTTCAAATATTTCGTTGCGGCTTTATCTTTACATCGTAATTTCAATCACCAAAATTATTACATTGGCATAACTATTTATCAAGCAGTGAAAAAATAATTTGCTGCATGGATGATAAAATGTTCCCGTTGAATGTCGGTTCTCGCATCATACGAATGCAGTTTTAAGCGATCAGTCTACATGGGGTGAAAATGACAGGCGCACAAGAGGCGGAGAAATGAAGTCATTTTGAAAATTAATTCCCGGCTGTTAAACTTTTAAGGTGATTGATTCTACATTTTCCAAAACGAGGCAAGATTTTCAAAATGGCTCGAAAAATATGCCAAAATTAGGTTGAACTTAAAATGAAAAACTGTTTTTATATTAAATGAACCAAATTACCAAGCACTAGTCACCAATAGCACAGCTTTCGTACCTTAAATGATTTTGTCTGGTCAAGGCTAATGAAGGCTAGAAGGCTTGACTTGATATGTAAGAAGAGTTCTTGTCTTTTTTATATTTATATCTATCTTTATTTGCACTGAAAATATGTTGTACAATACAGATCTAGATAATAGAAATAATACGATGGGTAACAAATATAATATACTACATATTATTAAGCCATTCATTAACTTTGATACATAAATCACATGTTCCAGACGTATGACTCATTAGCCATCGTGCATCCTTTTTGTTTTGACCTACATAATGTCTCTTGAATTGCTTTAGTCAGATGGGAAGTTACATCATGATTTTTAGTTATTGTTGTGTTGAAACTTTTGTGTTTTGATCTCTCGTGAGTTGATAGTGTTAGAAAAGTAAGTAGGTATTGATGTCTGATTTGACTTTATACTGACATCCAATTGATTTCGTCATGGAGTTTGTTTAACACACGAGTGAGGTCCCATTAGATCATTTATATGAATCATCTCAGAATTATCTAGTTTTTAAAATATATACATTTGTTTTCAAAGATTAAGATTTAAATTACATGTATTCCATATTACATCAATTCAATTTCAATTCGATTCACTTTTTTTCAACTGTTTCAGATATATAAGAGTTCATAATGACATGAAAAAAATATAAAAAATATACAAAACATGACAAAGCATAAAAATAAATTATGATAAAATACAAGTAATGAGAAGAAACAAATCTACATTGTAATAATGACTCAGCAAATTAAATTTTAACTTTCGTTCAAATGATTTGATATGATTGGACTTTTTTAAGATCAAGTGAAACATTGTTGTAAAGTAAATGGCCACTTGTATCAATTGATTTTCTTTCAATTTTTGTTCTGAATATTTTACAAGTAAATTCGTAATGATTCTTGTGCCATGATTATGAATTGCTGTTGCTTGAACGAATAAATGTGTGAATTTTTGAAAAGGAAATTCTGATGATTCAGAAGCTGAATTTTTAACAAAGCTAGCGGTTTGTAGTTTAATATTAATGTCAAATATCATATTCAATATTTCCAATTTCTTAAAATGTTCCCAAAGATTAAGTGATAACTCTTAACAATTCATTTTGCAGGACATAAAGGAGTGGTATCGATATGGAGAACTGAATTCAACAATATTTTCTCTTAAACCAATCATTGAAACATTCTGTAAAAACACGGTATTTTATGTAATGTTGACTGATTGACGACAATTTAATGCGAAAATTATTTAGAAATATTTTATATAACTGTTTTTGTTAACATTTTTTGTTTTTTGCAATTGTTTTTGCTCCTTTCTACCAATTCAGAAACGTGTGTTTAAAAAGTTCTCCATATTGATACCACTCCTTTTGAGTTTTTACAGCATTTCCTTATAAAGTCTTATTTAAAATAATCCTAATTAAATTCAATTTTTTAGATGACCAATTCAAAAGTTTTAACAGTAAGTAGAATATGTTGCTTTCTAATATTCAGCAAATGCATTGTTTCGGGATTAAGCTTCTCCAATAAAAAAAATAGAATGTCTTTGGTTAAGGAAGGATTCTAAAGTTATTAATCTTTTTGGTTTCATATATACAGCTGCAACTCGTTGTTTTTTCCTAATCCCAGCATCCAGTAGCTGCTTTTGTTTTTACCGGTTTCTTGTCGAAGCAGTAATCTTTTCTGGGGCCATTCAGCTTTTCGTCTGAGGAGACGTTGCGGTATCGCTACAAATTAAGATAGCAGATGAAGTAAAAAAGGAGTAATACTCATCAAGTAACACAATGATCATGATTGTTGGAAACAGTCAATGACTCTGGCCAGGAAGAGTGGATCGGAGCACAAAACTTGAGAAGCCATAACATGTGTTTGCTGTAAGCTTACCCAATGTGGCCAATTACCGGACATTAGTTCATTGTAGAGCTTCCTTCCAGGACTCATTGTAGGTTTAACCTGACAATGGCCGTACATCGTGTAATTTGGCATGAGATATTCATTGTTGACTCCATAATAAAGAATTTCTTCAAGGGCTTGTAGGGCTATATTATCCGGTAGTCTCCTGCGGAAATCACCAATAAATGCAATACCAATGGAGTTGTTGTTCCAGCTAAATCATTAAAAGATAACATAATATAAAATATATAAGGGTTATGTAATGGGGGATTTTGGATACAAGGTATATTCATATCTCCCTTGGGACCGCAGGGACCGAGAGAGATACACATTAAATGTATTCCATACCTACTGATGACGTTCTAGGTAAATCACACTTCATAAAGATCCAAAATTTAAAAACGTACTTAAGGTACGTATTTTCTTTATCTTAAAAAGTCGTTTGCGACATTTTCACACACATATATTACTGTCGCAGATTACTGAATTGATATTGAAAAGATGGGTATCGATATGGCGAACTTTTTGAACACACGTTTCTCTTAAACCAGTCATCAAAAAATTCTGAAAATTTTACACATTGTCAATTTAATAGTCATCTTTTGCATGGTAACAATACAATTGGAAATATATATATATAATTTCACCTATATTGTTTTAGAAAACACATCAAACACTTGTTTTGTTCTTGATATCATGTTTCCAGAGTGAAATGAAACATCTTTCCGAACCTCATTGGAACAAAACGACAGAAACACAACATGTTTAGGTCTCTCAATATTGTAATTATACAAAGGAGATTTTGGTTGATTTAAAAAAAGTATCTTGTTAGTATTTCATTCTCAAGAATTGGTAGAAAGGAGCAAAAACAATTGCACTAAAAAAACAAAAATGTTAACAAAAACAGTTATATAAAATATTTCTAAATAATTTTCGCATTAAATTGTTGTCAATCAGTCAACATTACATAAAATACCGTGTTTTTTAGAGAATGCTTTTAATGATTGGTTTAAGAGAAAAACATTGTTGAATTCAGTTCTCCATATCGATACCACTCCTTTAGGATATACAGCATGAGTTTGATATACAATCTTTATTTCGTGAATTGAGTAAAACAAATTGACTTCAAAAGCAAACATAAACGCATTTTCTTAAGCTTAAAAGTGGTTTGTAAGATTTTCCCACTCATATATTGCTTGAGCAGATCGATGGATATTAAAATCAAAAATATATAGCATAAGATTGAAATATAATTTTTATTTTATGATCATAATGCCTGAGAATAACATGATTGGTACATGGCTTCAATTGCCACTTGCCTCTTTATTTGAAGATGACTTTATAGATGCTGCTCCATATGGATCATCTCTTTCCATTTTTTCCGATAAACCTTTTAATCCTATACATCTTCTTCCTGCTGAGGAATCTGATGACTCAAGGTTCTCTGAATTCACAGAAACCTTTATTGGCAAATGTAATTATCATGAAACACATGGACTTAAGAACAAAATAGGGTCATCTTTAAATACAGAGCTTTCAATTCTTAATCTCAACTCCAGAAGTATCTTAGCTAATCAGTGGAAACTGGATAACTTATTAGCTACTACTGGGGTAAAATTTTCTATAATTGCTCTATCTGAGACTTGGCTTAATGCATCAAATCAAAACCAGTTTAACTTACCTAACTACTCATCAGAATTTAATTCTAGAATAGATAAAAGAGGGGGTGGTGTCTGTATAAATGTTCACAACTCCTTGCAGTATATTACACGCAATGACCTTAGGGTTGATAATCTAGAGTGTGAATCAGTAGCTATTGATTAGAATTAATCAGTCAAAACTCAAAAAATATCATTACTACTGTGACAGTCATATATAAGCCACCTGGTGTTGATGTGTTACAATTTAATAGTGACTTACGTGATTATATGAATAAAATAGCAGATGAGGGTAAATTATCTTACATCACGGGTGACTTCAACATTGATTTACTTAAGGTTGAATCTCATGAACCCACACAAGATTTTCTGAACCAGTTTTATCATTCAGTCATTTCCCACTAATATATAGGCCGACAAGAATTACTGACAAGACTGCAACTCTTATATAGATAATATTTTTACTAATGTCCCTAATATTGATGGATGTGGTATCATCATGGAGGACATTTCTGATCACTTTCCAATTTATTCTATTTCACATTATGATACTACCAAATCTAAAAAAAATATTAAGCAGTTATCGTAATTTCAATGACTCTAATAAGCAATCATTTCTTGAGAAACTCTCAAATGTCGACTGGACCCCTTGCTATAAAAGTCAAGATGTAAACATAGCATTTAATATCTTCATTAACTTGTCAATGGAACAATATGATTCTTCATTTCCACTCAAATCCAAATTTATCAAGGTTAATCATGATCCTGATAGACCCCGGTTGACTTCTGGCATCTTAACTTCTGCCAAAACTAAAAGTAAGCTATATACCAAATATTTGAAAAATCCCTGTTGCAAAACAGGAAAAGCTTACAAGTCCTTCAACCATAAACTTAAGCACATAATTAAATACTCAAAACGTACACATTATCAAAATAATTTTGCCGAAGTAAGTGGTAACATTAAAAAGTCTTGGCCTATCATTAATGAACTACTTGGAAAAAACAAAAGAGCTGCATTGCCATCTAAATTCACTATAAATGGAAAGGAAACAACAGATCATGAAATCATTTCTAATGGATTTAATAATTTTTTACCAATATTGGTAAAAGTCTAGCCAAGGAGATTCCAAAATCCAAAAAAATGCTTTAATGAATACCTAGCAAGAGCTCAAAAAGTTCAATCATCTATTTATCTCAAAAAGACCTCAAAAAATCTTCCTCGCCTGGACCTGATGGGATTCTACCATCACTTATTAAGTCTGCAAGACAGTTTTTAATTGATCCACTCTTGTATATATTTAACTTATCTTTTAAATCTGGTATTTTCCCAGACGCCCTCAAATTGGCCAAAGTAACACCTGTATTTAAAAAAGGTGTCACTACAAATCCTTCTAACTATATACCAATTTCAGTTTTATCGGTATTTTCTAAATTGTTAGAAAAGCTCATACACGCCAAACTCACTGTTTTTTTAGAACGTTTTGAAATTATTTTTTCTTATCAATTTGGATTTTAGAAATTCAATTCTACCTACATGGCCATTTCATATTTCATTGAACAAATTCGAAAATCAACTGATTTGGGGAAAACGAGCATTGGCATAACATTAGATTTTTCCAAGACCTTTGACACAATTAATCATGACATTTTGATACAAAAACATGAATATTATGGCATCAGAGGAATAGCTAAGTCCTGGTTTGAAAGTTATTTTAAAGACCGCAAACAATATGTCACCATTAACAATTATGAATCTAAACAATCATCTCTAAATTGTGGTGTTCCACAGGGCTCGGTACTTGGACCACTATTATTTATTCTTTACATAAATGATCTGCCTTTTGTTGCCCCTAATCTAAAATTTATTATGTTTGCTGATGACACCAATCTTCTTGATAGTGATTATGATTTAAATGAACTTATAACTAGAACTAATGCAAACTTGAATTCAATAGATGACTGGATAAAAGCAAACAAACTTTCACTTAATATTCGCAAAACCAATGCTATTCTATTTGGACCCAAAAAAATCAAACAAATCTGAATCTTAAAATACGCAATGAGAACATAAATGTCCGGGAAAAATTTACTTTCTTGGAATTATTATTGATAAAAACCTGAAATTTAAAGAGCACATAAAATCTGTTGAAACGAAGATTTCTCGCGTCATTTGTTCTCTTTATCACATTAAACATCTACTTCAATTAGACAGTTTCAAAACAATTTACTACTCATTGATACACTCTCAATTAAATTATTGCAACATAATCTGGGGTAACACATTTAAATCATTTTATGATCGTCTACATAAACTGCAGAAACAATTCTTAAGGCTAGCTTTAAATAATAAGGATAGACTTTCTTACTCCATCCCCTATTTAAAGATTTTAAAATATTAAATATTTTTGATGTCAATAGATATTGTACTGGTCAGTTCATGTACAAAATCTTTAATAAGCACCCCAATCTTCCAAAAAATCTATTTCAAGACTTGTTTGATATCAACATTAATATTCATCATCATTACACAAGACAATTGCATTATTTTTATATCCCTAAATGCTCTAAACTTTCCCTTCGCTATCTAGGTCCTAATCTTTGGAATGCTCTACCACATGATATTAAAAAATGCTCCACTCTAAATATTTTCAAATCTTCATATAAAAAACTACTCATCTATCGATAATGTATAATACCAATCAGATCATACTGTATTGTTGATTTTATACTGGTACCTGATTTTTTGTAACATTTTTATATTGTACATCGTTAGATAAATTGTTAATACCATTTTTATATACCTACATGTAACATAATATAAGTGTTTTCTTTGATATGTAGTTTTTTAAGGTTTAAAGTTTTTTTATTATCATTTAAACAAAACAAATTACAAACACAGCAAGGGCCGAAGCATATCTAGATATGTAGTCTAGATGTCATTTTAATAATTTCTGTTAAACCGCAACATATACCCACTAGGGTGTCTAGCGGCTTGTTTTTATAGTGTATATTATATAAGAATTATGAAATAAATAAAAATTGAATTGAATTGAATTTCGAAAATTGAGTAAAACGTTAACTGAGTTCGCCTTTCAGGAGGGGAACAGCACGTATCCTTCCCGGCCCCGGACCTTGGCGATAGCTCCCTAGATACAGCATATGTATATATGTGTACCTAGAACCTCAGTAGGAATGGAATACTTTACGATTTCTTCACTTAAAGAATTTCGTTTATGAATAAAATGCAATCTATCCTACCCTGGAGAGTGCGATCCCGTAAAGTTCCACCCCGCTCCTTCATACACAACACCATAACTGCCGATCATAAAATTGTAACCAATGTCAGTCGAATCTGAAACGAAATATCAATGCAAGGCTTATAAGAAAATCTTTATCGATGGATTGATTTAAACAAAGACAATTGTTTACAAGTCAATGGTATAATCAAACGTAGATTATTCATGTGGACATACTTACCGTTCTTGTGCATGTATATCTCCTGTGTTTCAACGACGCTCTGGCAGCAGTCGACCATATCGGCACAATCAAGCCCAGCTGAGTGAATGATGATGACATATTTAGCTGGGGACTTACGAAGTGTTTGATGGCCGCTCCGAGGTTTTGCACCCCACGACTCTCTGCTCTTATATCGGAAAATGCCGGATTTGTCTGAAATAATTATACGTGAAATTATTATTGAATTGACTTTTTTAGGCAGATGCCACCAATGAACCATATGACAAACCTTTTAACTCAATGCATTAGATTTTAAACTTAATTGATTTTTCAGATATAATATTATAGTCAATCACTAATGCCTATGCCGCATTTACTCCGATTCATCGGCCGGCGCCAGGCCGATTGAGTATCCTGTTCAAAACTGAATACAATTGTGAACAGGATACTGAATCGGCCGGGCGCCGGCCGATGAATCGGAGCAAATGTGACCCAGGCATAATACAATGTAATGTGCATGTCAAATGGAATTCGGCTTACCGTTAGTTATTAACGCAGGACTCTCAGCACATTTTAGTGTTCCATTTGGTTTATTGGAAAGATATATTCCAACAAACAACGATAGTCCTACTAGCATAGTAACGAAACAGAGAATAATGAGAATCATGAATCTATTGAATTTTCGAGTGGGAGTAAAGTCTGCCGCCATTGTTGTTCTGATGAATTCTTCCTTCAACTGTGCCACTGCTTTTGAATACTCTTGCTTCAGGTCTGGTATATCAGATATTGATATGCGATCACTGTATTTGCTTAAGGATTCCGGACTTTGTCCCATTCTCAATAAAATATGAGATAGTTCACTGAAAAATTGGTCGAATTCATTTTGGCTTAGATCTCTTTTCGATTTGTGTATAAGCCGATGACGTAGATGTCTCAATCTGATGACGTCATGCTCTGGCTTTAGCTTGTCCTCTTGTGGATACTTGCGCCAGTCTAAGTCGACCTGTGGGATGAGATGTTTGATCAAGATGAACAGTAATTCCTGGTCAAAGACGAAGGGATCTGCCGTACAAGATGGAGGGTATAGAGTGTTAAACTGATTCTGTGTCAGTATTTCTTTTTCTCGTAGCAGGCGTAACTGCATTTTATAACGTTTGCTGTGCAACACATCGAATATGTTGTCAAACCCCAATGGCAAATTATTCAGAAAATATTCTCGTATCTGCTCAGTGCCTTCTTTCAACAATAAACAGCACAGTCGACCGTAATAAAACTCAGAAGCATCTGAAAAATATTTTAGATATATTTATATTTCCCTACAATATGCCCAATGATAAAATTTCTCTTGAATTATGTGTTTCTTGTCATATGCGATTTATCTTCCCATATACATAGTTTGTTTATATAAAAAACAAAGCTCCAGAAAATGTATATCTAATTTAAAAATAGTATTTATTCAGAGGACCTTTTTTGATATAATGACAACTGTTATTTTTAAACATACAGTAAGGTATACAATTTTCTGTTAAAAGCTAGTATGTTTAAACTATACTTTGTTGATACAAAGAGTGAAAGATGGTACCTTAGATTGTTCTGTCGGAATTAATTGAGTATGGACAAACCTATTATTTGTTCCGTAAGAATGCTATCATTTCCACACGTAAGAACAGACAGATTAATCTTCAAATCATCTCCATTTTCACCCTTCAGTGCACGCTTTAAAAGTGTAACACAATCCTCTCGACCCATTGATAAAGTATAGTCATGTAGGTCAGTAAGTAGTTCTTTGTTACCTTTACCAGTGCGAGTTTTATACACTAACAGTAACGCCTGTGTCGGATTTTTCTCACGTTGTTGAATGTTACGAATCTCGAGAAATGTAAATCCCATCTTATCGGCAAGCATCCGCCAGTCATTGCCAAATATATCTGGCGGATTGAGAAGCATGCTAAGTCTGTGCATGGTATCATAATCGACGAAACTCAGAACGTCAGCCATCTCTCTAGAAACGTTTTTGATAGTTGCTGCGTTTGAGCATCCATTTTCGATATCCTCTATAAGTGAAAAACGGGTAAATATAACTTTTTTATCAAGGAAAACCATTTCAAAGATAACTTTTACAAATTTAGCTTCTCTGACTTCTCTCGACAATTAAAATATGAGTATGCATTTGTGTATGTCATGCTTATTTCTTTCAAGTAATATAACAATTGATACATCGTTGGTCATTTTTACAATGATTTATATAGGTCGACAAAGCTTTGTAAACTAATATCGTTCCAGTGTTCCCTGTGTGACATGCCGGAGAAGTGCAATCCCTAACCACTGGTCCCCAACTTGTTATATAGACGTTGCGTCTTGACGACAAATGGATGAACTTCCATCGGGGGAAATTTTATTTTATCATTTTCACCAAGGACTTCGGTAGACTTATATCCAAATGTTTTACCCTCATGTTAATAGTAGTATCCGGTTATTGAATGGCGAATCAGTCAAGAGTATACATCCAAGAGCTCCAATTATCAAGTGAGAATTCCACACTTCGGCAACCAGGACGTCAATAGGCCATAACATGAAGCAACCAAGACGTTATTATCACGTTTAATTAGACGTTAAATTCACCAGATACCGTCCTGGTTGCTGAACTCGATTTTTGGAGCTGCTTGATATAATTGCTCGTGACTACCTAGATTTTAAACTAGGGTAAACTATTTGGATACAAACGACCTCCTTCTTGGTGAGAATGATGGAAATCCATCCATTTTTTTGTTATAAAATCGTAACCTCTTAGCAATCAGGTGGTTCACCTCTCTATAGGGTATTCTTTGGAAGTGTTTCATGTCAATCGATTTTAAAGGGATCCACCACCTTACAAAACTTCTTAACGGAGTGGAATAAGGGAAAATGCTTGCCGGATTCTGAATCTGTGTATTTTTTAATGATTTTTCACCGTCTTAGAATTTCAATTTTTTTCCTTTAAAAAATGAGATTTGCATTGTTTTCCAATTAGAAAAATGAGTAAACATGAATAGCTCGAAATCTAACGGTGAGATTTTGTTTTAAAAAATCATGGATATCAAGGCTAAATATAGCTATACAGTCAACATAAAAAGCAATGCTTGGACTCTTCATATTCACACAAAAAATTAATTAGTAAATGAGGTTTGATATTTGTGAGAATAAGTTGTACGAGGTGCAATGCTCAACAAACACCAGACTACAGGGTGGATTAGGATCAATGCGACACACATAAAAATTAATTTAAAAATATTTCATGATAATTATCTCAAACAAAAGCAGTTAGCGAAGGATACGTTTCATTACACTCAATAAATAGTTATCACTTTTGACTATATATACATATCTCATGGGAATGTATTTCCATCTGCTCAAGATATCATATTTTAGCTTCGAAAATCACAATCGTTGGATAATACATTTGTCTCAGAATGATAGGCAACCATGAAGTAATGTAGCTTTCACTTGAAGTGTACCCTTGAGAATAATGAACTTACTTTCAAATTGGTCTTGCTTTTGTGGTGTATGTGGCTTTTTAGCAAATCTGCCACGCTCATTTCTTACCAGAACCATCTTATTCAAATGTATCACTATACGCGCATGTACAGGGTGACCCAAAAAATGCAACCCTCCATTTCTTCTATATTTTTCTTAAATGGAGGTAAATTGCTCTGAGATTTGGCACACAAGGACTTCATTCAATTCAATCCATTTTAATAACCATAGTCTTATATTGATGGAGTTATGGTTGTTTCAAAATATGCTCCAGATGTCGTCAATTTCACTGAAAACAAACTTGCAATGTTCAAGGAAAACTGTTCATAACACGGATGCTTTCTTCCCCATGGGTATGGCTCAAATTTTGCAGCCATCGCTTGTTGGAGTTCTGCAATTGCGGTAGGGTTATTTTCATACACATTATCCTTTAAATAACCCCATATATAGAAGTCAGGGGCATTGAGATCAAGACTGTGGGTTCTCCATCCTAGGAGAGATAATCTTCTCATAGAAATGACGAGTGAGCCAGGTTATGCTATCATTAGAAGTGTGAGGAGTAGCTCCATCCTTCTAGAACCACTGTTCTTGTCTATTGAAGCCTCTGATGTCACTCTAGAACTGCCTAGAACTTCCTGGGAACGCCAATATTGCGCTGTGTTTTAACAGTAGCAGTGTTGCCATTATCAACCTCAAACCAAAAGGGGCTGATGATTTCATGTTTGGAAATTGGCAGCCCAAGCTGTGCATTTAACAGAATGAAGGGGCCTTTGAAGCACTTCATTTGGAATTTGTGATCCCAGAACACATCATTTCTTGAGTTTACATGTTCAGAAAGAAGAGAATGAGATTCATCTGAAAACCTAACATTGGAAATGGACGACATTTGGAGCATATTTTGGAATGACCATAACTCTATCAATGTAAGACTATGATTATTGAAATTTTGCCAGAGGATCCCACATTGAATGAAGTCCTTGTGTGCCAAATTTCAGAGCAATTAATCTCCATTTAAGAAAAATATTGAAGAAATGGAGGGTTGCATTTTTTTGGGTCACCCTGTATGACTTCAAGCTAACATATTATTTCATATTTATATTTTTATAGTTAGTTTAACATAAATAATAGATCCATGAGAACAATATTCTTTTTTTTAAATTGATGGGTTTACTGTGAATTCAATAAATTACAATTTGCAAGGGGCAAGTATACTGTATGAGCTAGCTAGTGGCTTTGTATTTTATGTTAGGCCAGGGTAATTAAATTAGTTTTTTCTCTTTCTTCTATTTTTCAAAATTGACACGGGAATGACGGTTTTTATATTACCTTTTTGTCTATCTAAAATGCTGATGAGGAACGGGATGATTTTTTTTCTTTAAAATAACTGTAAAAACAAATAACTAATTTTGAAGGAAATAAACTGAGTTTATGTTGAATTTAGCCTACTTTACTGGTATATTTAATAATATATCAGTACCACGATATTGTCAATTATCCTGATCCATAAAAAGTTTAAAAAAAGTTTTTCACACGCCATGGATGTGCGCGAGGTACAGTGTTTTTTCTCGGAAATGGCAGAAAAAAGGTGGAGGGGGAATTGGGCCACACGCGGGCAAGAATGAGAAACAACTAATTTAATTACCCTAACCTTAGTTCATCCAGTAGAACGTTTTTACTGCAAAGTAGTGTTTTTATATGCAGCTTAATAGCATAAAATATGTTGAATGAAGCATATGGTGTGGATTAGTCGTGTGACACACAAACTGACCAATACATGAGGGTATTAGCTACTTTTCACATAAACCAAAGGAGGACAGTGCTTTTATTTCAACTGGGAGCTTACCTCCACACGACTGATCATGTGACCATGTCTGAATAAAAAATCATTAATTGTTTCAGCCCCTTTTCAATACAGTAGTGCTTAGTTTTTTTAGTTTTTATGGTTCCTTTATTTAAACAGTATTAGTATACAGCATAAACAGAGCCTAAGCCAAAGCATTATTGGCCCTGTGGGTTACAGCATTTGAATTTACATAAAAGATGGCTCCCCTGTTTGGAGAAATGAACTGATTGTTTTTGACTCATCATAAATACATGTTATTTTAGACAATTTCTATTATCTTACAAAGAAAATCTGTAAAAGATTTAAAAACAAGACCTTTAATAGAATTACTCAATGAAATGTCACCAAACAGGAGAGTATTTGTCTCGTGTTCTAAAGAGCATCTTGGTGAAAAAAAAAGAAATCAAGTTCAGTAATCAGGCATTATCCTAAGTTCCCCCCAAAGTTCTTCTCTTTCTCTTAATAATAGCGGGCAGTTGAAGATGAGGTGCTTAGTAGTTTGGTCTCTGTAGCCACATAAACAATTTGGACTGTCAACATTTCTAAAATTGTGCAGGAAAAAGTGGCCTGTAAAAATAAAATCACATCTAATGCGATTTAGAAGGATTTCACTCTTTCGTGATAATTCTAGCTTAGATGTAGGTAATGGTAAATCTTTGTCTCGGAAATGTTTTTTAACATTCCTTTTAAAACTAGAATTTTTTTACTTTTCTTTTAGATAATATGGGAGCTTTTCCCATTCGCGCATTGCTTTTATTATTGGCGATTTAGAAAAGGAGCCAGATGATTTTTGAATATTAAATTCTCTGACATTTCTTAGGTTTATATCTTGAACAGGATTTCTCTGTTGGTCAAAAATTCGTTGGAGATAAGAAGGGACTGTTTTATTTTTTACTTTGTGCATAAGATTTAAGTATTTTTCATTTCTTCTGGTCAAAAGATCATTCCAGTTTAGGGATTTAAATAGTTTAATTTTTGAAGTTCCCTGAATGCATCCACTTACTAGTAATGCAGCTCTGTAATGTACTTGGTCAAGTTTTGCAAGATCATATTTGGTGGCTTTTTCGAATAAAATACTTCCATATTCAAGTTTAGGAAGTATAAAGGACAAGTACATTTTTTCAAGATATTTGGATCTAACTTTGTTCTTTAAAAGCCTTGAAAGGATTCAACATTGTATTACATTTATCAATTATTTCATGTATATGTGAGCTAAAATTTAAGTGTTCATCTAATAACACTCCTAGGTGTTTGTGATTAAATGCTCTGCTGATCCTTTCATTGCTACTACTAGTAAGAGGTTAATGATACGGTTCAAATGGCATTTCGTAAAGACTGAATTTTTTAAAGTAAATACTTAAAACGGAATTTTTGATGACCTAAGTCTATAATTTAGCTAACTTGGGTATTATATTACTAATATGCAAGAAAGATATCTTTCCTTGCATAATTGCAAAACTCCTCAGTTTTCATGCAAAACTCCTCAGTTTTCAACGTGAAACCTAATTGTCACTGGTTGTGTTCCCATGCATTTGCGGTGTTCTTAGTTTGAACATGAACTTTCAAAAAGAGCAATTCATCACTGGCGTCTCCCTCAGGTAGTTAGTTCAAAACACCATTCAGATCAACTACAAAAACACGCAGTCGATTTCTAGAATTACAAATGATGAGATCATATCAACCTTGCGAAATTTGTTTAAAACGTTGTGTAAAGTATGTACATAAAGATGTATGTTCAGAGTATTTTCTGCAAATATAGCCTAGGGGTCTTTTCACTTTTCTGAATCCTTGTCGTGTCTGCATTATTAACCCATATGCATTTATCTACGAAAGAACATACAGGTGTACAAAAATAGGATCGTAGTATAAAGTTGATTCACTCGGTCAATCTTAGACAGTCTGCCTTGGAATTTCAGAATTATTTAGTTCTTCCAATGTTCATTTTGTAGTGAAAGGTTGATGATAATCTGCTGATTGAGTTAAAAACAAGAGCACCTTCCAAAACATGCTCAGAGTGGGCTCTCCTCTATACACGATTGAATAGACAGAGAGGATATGTAACCACTTGGAGCATGTTTTTTTGTAAGTTACTGTAGTTTTTGACTCAATAGGCAGATACTGTCAAACTTTCACAACAAAATTCTGAAATTCTGAATAATTCTGAAATTTCAAGGCAGAATATGCAGGATTGATCGAGATAATCAACATTTCTACGGTTCTGTTTTTGGACTACTATATATAAAATGATGCCCCTAACGAAATCATAAAACATAACATTTCCCTTCAAAATTATCGCCAAAATTATATCTTGACTTTCGATTCCTCGATTTCTAAATGATATCACTTATCGTAATTTGACCCCTTTACTTGTTTTTGACTCGCTAACCAATAAATACAAATTCGCCAAACCAAACACTTTGTTTATGTAACACTTTATCGCTTTTTATTTGTTTATACACATACGAGGGGTGATTAAAAAGTAATGGTTTACAAACAAACTAAACGTAACAGATGTTAAATCATTCGACTTAGTGTCAATTCTTAGCTGCATTTAATATCGATTCAGCTATGCGTAACCATGGTTACTAAGGTAAACATAGATGGAATCCACTTTTAAATAATAATCAACTATTTTGTCATTTCTGTTTGATTTCAATATGATCATGACTCAACTACAGAAAATGCTAAATATGCAATTGTCAATAAGACTCATATGCCCATACCTATGCTGATGAGTTCTAAATTCAGCAGTCAGTTTTGCTGTACCATCACAATTTATTTTTTAGAGTAGTGAGCCAAGGTCAGTCGTAAAGTGAGTCAGACCTTAGACTCACACATCCAGCAGATCTGCTTTCCAACAATTTAAAGCTACACAAATGATTGTTATAGAATACTTGGTAACAGCTGAGGGTACAAGACTGGAAGTTGTCAGGGAAATGCAGACGCAAAAGGAGAGAATGACTCGCAATGCAAGCCATTGGGAGATGGTACAAGCACTTCAATTGAGGTGATATTGATGTACAGAGAAAGGCATTGGATCTTCAGCGATTTGGAAGACCAAAGCCTGGTCGCACTGATAACAATATCTTAGAGATATCTATATATCAATATCTTAGAGATATCTTTATTAATATATTACCAGAGTGATGAATCTACACAGAAATATCTTAGATGCCATCTTAAATGCAGACAGGAGATTGAAACTTAGAGAAATAGGTGCCGTACAGATGATTAAACCAGTAAATATAAAATGTAAATGAATGATTGGGAATGATGTGAATTGTGGTTGAACTTGTTCTACCATCTTCAAATATTGGATGATGTATTTCGGCAGCACACTTGTCATCATAATTATTGTGTTATCATGATGTCAATATGCAAATTAATATTCCAGGTATGCTGTTCTATTCTCAAGCCAATAACTTGGCTTGACATCATAACATTTGGCCCGCTGTGTACTCTTAAAAAATATAATCTTAATACTATTTTAAAAATATTTATGAGAATATAACCCTGTACTTTGCAAGATGCATGATTTCATCTGAGATTGAAAACATCTGCTAAAAACAACAAAAAAACATCCTTCAAATAAAAATAAAAAACGCGATAGCCTATTCGTTATAAAAAGTTATATTATATATAACGATTTAACTTCTACCTGACTCGTTGATTAACTTCGTGTACTTTGTTGTCGGCATATTGGTTCTCCCAAAACAGGTAGCTGCAGAATCACTGTTCCTTAGTTCTCTTTACCTCGTGCTGCCCTTAACCAGACAGGAGCATAATCTAGGTATGTTCCTCAAAGCTATTACATCGTCTATATGCGGAAGTTTGCTTAAATATTGGTTCTGAGTGTTCAAATATCTCCCTATTACTTCATCGGCAGTATCGTCGAAATGACGTGAGCAAGATGGCATCTTCAAGGGATTATAAATCAGCCCAAGTTACCCGTTGGTATACACCGAGTGTTGTGAAGAGGTGTGAATAGCTATGTTTTGCTCACGATTCATTTTAGTCTTTATAAATTCAAAGTAAATAAACTTTCAAAACACACACTGATCTAGTTTTGGTTAAAATGTCGACTATTAATCGTTTTTAAGCAGGAGTACGTACCAAGGGGATTTATTAAAAAACATAACATGCAAAAACGTGTTGGTTGGTTAGATAACGGTAGTAATCTAATTCACAAATAGCTAGACAAGGTGTGTTTAATTCCAGCCAATCAGAACACTCTACTTCTTATATCTGCATTGCATTATATGCTTCCAATGCACCCAAAGCCACTTTTAGATTCTAGTGATAAACCAAGCCTGCATTCGCGAATTTTACTTTCGGCTGTTGGCTACCGGATTAACCAACTATTTCATAAGCAACTCATTTAAATATGAATACATGTAGCATATGCCACTAAATAAGCCACTGGTATTAAAATAGTGGCTTATTCAAGTAGGAGACAGCCGAAAGTTGCATCTGCAAAAACAAGCTAAGCTCTTATACGCGAATGCAACTTTCGATGACTACCGGATTAACCTATCAATTTTCATAAATTAGCCCATCATTTTGAAATTGATTTAACAACAAAATGTCCGTCGACGAGCAGATCGCATGATCTCTATGCCTCAATAATCAATTATAATAAAGCCGCTCGGTTGAATTATCGAACAGATCGTAGGTCATTGTTACTTGCATTTAATAAAGCCGCTCGGTTGATTTAGCCGATAGATTGTAGGTCATTGTTACTCACATTTAATAAAGCAGCTCGGTCGAATTAGCGAATAAATGGTAGGTCATTGTTACTAGCATTTAAAAAAGCAGCTCGGTTGAATTAGTGAACAGATCGTAGGTCATTGTTACTTGCATTTAATAAAGCCGCTCGGTTGATTTAGCCAATAGATTGTAGGTCATTGTTACTCACATTTAATAAAGCAGCTCGGTCGAATTAGCGAATAAATGGTAGGTCATTGTTACTAGCATTTAATAAAGCGGCTCGGTTGAATTGGCGAATAAATGGTAGGTCATTGTTACTAGCATTTAATAAAACCGCTCGGTTGAATTAGCGAACAGATCGTAGGTCATTGTTAGGCCATAAGAAGTAGATTCTTTGTTTTGCGTCCTGGCAAAATCAAAATCATACAAGGGTACAAGGAAAACAAACACAAACTCAAGAAAAAACACAAACTTGTTTGCTGAGAAATCTATACATTTTATGGGCATAAAAAGGGATGACATACCAATTTGTAGTGATTACAAACACACATCTATACATTTTATATAATATATTTAAACATAGCTATTATTCAAGGGTAAAAAATAAGAAAACACACTATGTATGCCAAACTAATTAATAACACTGTCAATTTTGATGCACATCAAATTATCTGCCATTTCGTCTGATTCTGATTGACATCTGATTCAGACCCTTGTGATTGCTACATGTATTTGGTTGTGTTTGTTTTTTCTGATTTCTCAAAATCGTGCAAGCAAGGGGACGCAAAACAAAGAATCTACTTCTTACGGCCTTACTTGCATTTAATAAAGCCGCTCGGTTGATTTAGCCGATAGATTGTAGGTCATTGTTACTCACATTTAATAAAGCAGCTCGGTCGAATTAGCGAATAAATGGTAGGTCATTGTTACTAGCATTTAAAAAAGCAGCTCGGTTGAATTAGTGAACAGATCGTAGGTCATTGTTACTTGCATTTAATAAAGCCGCTCGGTTGATTTAGCCAATAGATTGTAGGTCATTGTTACTCACATTTAATAAAGCAGCTCGGTCGAATTAGCGAATAAATGGTAGGTCATTGTTACTAGCATTTAATAAAGCGGCTCGGTTGAATTGGCGAATAAATGGTAGGTCATTGTTACTAGCATTTAATAAAGCGGCTCGGTTGAATTAGCGAATAGATCGTAGGTAATAGGATAGTTTCTAAATAGCAGAAAAGTCAATGAAATCTCGTGCTGCCATCTTTTATTCAGCTTTTAACTCTGGCTAGAGCTCCATTCACTTACATGCTAAAATCTTGGAAAAGTGGCTTAATTTCATGATTTATCAAAGTGTGTTTGTTGAATCTGTATAAAACTTGAATGATATACCACATGATGACCCTGTTTACGAACATGTTGTGATTAAACATGCTAATGTTGATTGACATACAAATAATCCACGGTTTTAAAGAATTTTAGCATTGCATCTATGGACATTTGGCCCAACTTTTTTTAAATTGTCATAGAAAATTATTCAAATTACATAACTGTGTAAATCAAAGCTATTTTAGGAGAAAACATTCCACTGAATTCAAATATACCATTTAAAAGAAGGTAATGTAAGTCATTAGAGGTCTAATATGCAAGTCTCTTAAAATCTCACGAAAAACGAGATTTAGCGAGATTTCAAAAGCTATATGGAAACTATACTATTGTTACTAGCATTTGATATAACCGCGCGTTCGGTTGAATTAGCGAAAAATCGTATACTAGGTCATTGTAACTTGCTGCTAGATAGGCAGATTAACCCGTTATTTAGGTCAGCTATTGAGTCTGACGCAATTGCAATCAATCCGATAGCCGCTAGCCAAAAATTGCATTTGCGAATTCAAGCTTAGAATAACCTTTCAACCTAGAACAATGTTGTTGGTTTGACAAGATTGTGTATATATAGCATAATATGATGATAGTAGATGTACTGGTATGTTAGACCCATATTATGCACGGGTCGCGTTTCGTTACCATTTGGCTATTCCCATAGTTAATCCTCATTTAGGTAGCAACAAAATAGAATGAGCTGTGTTTTATTTCAAAGAATGTAAAGTTGTAACAAAGAAGAGTTCATTGTTTCCGTGATTCATTTTCTTGTAAAGAATGGACACTTGGCATGTTATCCAAAACCAATGTGACACAAAAGAGAGTCGATTGACTGTCACGATACAGTGCACTAAAGCTGAACTAAGTACCAAAATCATTCATTCTATAAGTAAGTAGCGATTGAGTTTGACACGATAACTTGCAGCCACGGCGGGTTCTAAATTAGTTTGTCAACCAATAGAGGAGTTTCTAAATGATTTTGAAATCTCGCTTATTCTCGTTTTTTTCATGAGATTTTAAGAGATTTGCACATTTTACCTCTAATGACTTACCTTTCTTTCTTTTTGATAGCATATTTGAATTCAGTGATATGTTTCCTACAATAATATCTTTGATTTACACATTTATGTCATTTAAATCATTCTCCATAGTATTCTAAAAAAACTTGGGCCAAATCTCCATTGATGTTATGCTAAAATTCTTTAAAACCATGGTTTAATCGTATGACAACCAACATTTTCATGTTAAATCACAATATGTTCATTGACAGGGTCATTTAATAGTATTCCATTGAAATTTCAGACAGATTTAACTAACACTCTTTGATGAAATTAAGTGACTATTGCAAGCTTTTAGCATAGAACTCAATGGAAGGTTTGCCCAAGATGAACAAAGGTGACATCTATTATGTCAGCTTTATTCAGCTTTATTAAGCTATTTAGAAATTGTACTATTGCGATCAGCCAGGTAACCGCTAGACGAAAATTACATTCGCGAATACAAGCTGATGAAACCAATAACTAAGCTGAACAATTTTATTGTTGAATATCAATTAAAGAAAGGGAATGTGATTTTCGAATATACAGTGTGTCTCAAAAAAATGTTACACTTACAAAAAGTTCAATATCTTTCATAATTTTGACTTTTCCCATAAGATATACCTTGGATACCAAAAGACAAATCTTTCTCGAATAATTTGATACCATCAGATTCAAAATCTGTCCTTGATTGGCTCCACAGGACAGCTTTTAGTGTCCCATGGTAAAATCTGACTTGCGCCAACTTTTAAGTGATTGGATGGACCAAATGGCAAAAGAGGAACAGTTTCTTTAACATTTAACTTTCCTCTGAGTAGAAGCTTGACCTTTAACTGAGTCATTCTGTAATTGTCCTATTTGTCTTGCATATGCTCATTTGTCTATCCACATTAACATGCGGTCCCCTCAACATGTTCTTCAAAGCAAATCTGAGGTACCCTTGCCCATGTGCACATGCAATGTAATATCACACTGATTCCATCAATTATTTTTGCAGAATTTAGTTTCTGATGCTGTAAAGCGCTTTCAGAGGCCCTTCAAAAAATCAAGGGTGTAAAGTAAGATGACCCTGGGGGCCAATCCATTGGGTAGTTTAATGCTATCTTCTGATTTCCGATCGCTAAGAGTTCTACCAAACGATCTACCACAGGCCTTTGCACCAATGTTTGTAACTTTATTTTGGCATGAAACATTCTCAGTTATCACTTGCATCATTGTTGCACAATCAGTGATTTTGTCATTCTGGTATGATAGAGACTGCATGTATTTGATTGAAGAAGATCATAAACAGCTCCTAACATACAAACACACAGTAAGTGCATAAGGATGTCCGCTCTGATCCATCATCAGTGTGTGACACATTTTCGTGATATTGCAATGTCTGCATGTGCGCAAATTACACTAGTCTGCCTTATTGAGAATGTTTGATAATAACACACATGTGTATAATATGATTATATGTCTTTGTTCAAATAATCTCGAGATTCAGTTCATCACCACTTTATTACACTGTTATTTCTAAATTGTGTGAGATTCTTTTTTATGTCAATGATTTTACAATATTCTTGGATTATTTGAAGGAAATGCACACGTCCCCCAGATTTCACTGAAAAGGAGGACTACATTGACCATTCTTCTATAATCATTGCAATTGCTTCAACTAGTTGGGTGTCTTAAAAGTTAAAACGTAATCTTAGATGATTTAATAGGGGCGCTCTCCTAGGAAGCAAGATATCGGACGGCCTCAATGTTCTCTCTCGCATGTTCATGTAGGTTTTGCTACCATGGGAGGTTTTCTGTCAAAACAGTAAGCTGCTCTATCACCATCTAGTTCTTCGTTTTGGGGTACATCACGGTATTGCTATAAAAACAACATGATTTTGTATTTCAATGAAATAGACATTCCCAAGTAATAATAGGATAATCAAATTCCAAATGTTTCAAGTATGTAAAAATGTGGACGCAGGGTGAAAAGTCATAATTCATTTTGTTTTTAGAAATTCCTGTTGGGTAGTCTCAAGAGAAGTAGAGTGTTTGCAATCGATTGTAACAAACGTATATATACTGTACGTACCCAATGTGGCCAGGTCATCAGTTCATTGTAAAGCTTCTCCCCTGGACTCATGAAAGGCCGCAATTGACACTGGCCGTACATTGTATAATTTGCCATCAAGAGCTTATTAACTACTCCGTAGTGTAGGATTTCTTCAAGGGCTTGAAGGGCTTTGTCATCTGGTTTTCTGAGGCGGAAATCACCGATAAAGGCTATTCCAACTGATTTCTTGTTCCAGCTAAACAATTAGAATAAACAAAGTACATGTGACAATTACTCATACAACATTACTTGTTCTCATTTCATATTCATGATAGTCATAAAAACATAAATAGCAGCAAAAATTCGATTCAGAGTATTTTCTTTATAAATGACGAACACTAATTTCCTTACCTTTTAGTATGAGCCCCCTCAACTCCCCATCCCCGCCCTTCGTAAACAACTCCATAGCTACCGATAAGAAAGTTGTACCCGATGTCAGACCACCCTGAAAATATAATAATGAATATGAATTGTTACCTTGAAAAAGTGTAATAAAGTATTAATTAATATATCTCAAATACTCTACTTATAAGCACAATGCAGTTTTTATGTTTAATAGTGTACATACTGTTCTTATCCATATGGAGATTTTGAATTTCAACGACACTCTGACAACAATCGATCATTTCAACGCAATCCAGCCCAGCTGTATGCATGATGATGACGTACTGAGTTGGCGTCTTAAGTTGAATTGGGTCATCGACGCGAGGTCTCGCTCCCCATCCTTCTCTACTCTTATATCTGAACATACCAGAATCCACTGAAATTAATTATTTAATTATAATTGATTGAATCGACAAAGTAAATCATTGAATTGTTAATACATAATTGGATGGTCAGAAATAAAATCTAACTCCATTTACTTGGCAATGCAGAGACGATGATGTGATCTAAAATTTATAAATCAAGGCTTACTGTTGATTTTAAGTTCCGCCTTTTCAGCACATTTTGATGTTTGATTTGGTTTAAACACTAATAGTCCAAGTAACAACAAAACAAAGCAGAGAACAATGAAAATCACGAATCTATTGAACTTTGGAGCTTGAGTGAAGTCCGTCGCCATTTTTGTTTCGACCAATTCTCCCTTTAATTGTGACGCAGTACTCCTGGAAGATCGCTCAGATTTGATTTGGCCTCTATCTGTATTTGAACTGTGTTTTGAGCGTTTGCGTAAATGTTCAGAGATTACGACGTCATGTTCAGCTTCATTTTCATCCTCGTGTTGATGTACAGCGATATAGCGTGAGCTTACTGCCTCTGTTAGATTCTGACAGTCAATTTTTGATTCGTTGTTATAGGTCCCGAGCTGTTCCTGGTATAAATTGAAAAATGAAAGCATTTTATTGAAGTATATAATCACGAGTATTTAAACTACCTTTTACGTTGCCTGTTTTGAATGTTTGTTTCTCCATAGAATTTGACAATCGGACTTAACAACATCGAAATAATACTATAAGATACAAATACATAAATATTACTTAAAGGTCTATACTCCATATTTGCCAAAAGTCGAAAATATAATCAGACTTTTTAGAATTTTCTGGGAGATACTTATCCCTTTCATGTGATGCTCATCTTCTTTGTTTCCATGAAATATTTCATGATTCATAACACAAGCAATTCAATGTGTCTAAAACCTACTTTGGCTTTAACTTTTTCGGTTGCCTTTTCTACGTCAAGCTGTAACTTTCTCTCGTCTGTGTCCAAGAAACCTTCCAAGGATACTGCACACTCTAGAAAATACAAATTAATTCATCAAAACATTTTAATTCAAGAAAACATTGTAATATTTTTAAGTTTGTTTTCGCTTCTTCATAATTGACTATTACGTTTTGTCTGAATCTTGTCAGGTATTGACACAATACATGCCTTGTATAGAACTTACATGTATATGTATTTGAGACTCAATAAAAATGTTAGTGTCAAAGTGGAAGGAATACTACTCTGGATAAAGACTAGCTAACAGACATAAATTCATTGTAAGAAATTGTTATAATATATTAACGTATGGCAACTACATATTAGGTTTTAATTAGGAACTATCTTACCATCAAAAGTTGGCCTTTCTGATGGATTATGAGTGTAACACTTTTTCATCAATATGTACAGTTCCTCTAAATGACAGTCTTTTCTCGTGTCAAGGAGGAACTCCGGTTTGGGGCGCATTTGCAGTATTGCAACACCCACTAAGATTTCATGGTAACGATTATCTAAATATGAAAATTCATACTCATTAAAACGTATAACTTCTGCAAAAAGCATGGATAAAAATGATACTGCAAATGTCTGACATTATAATTTGGTACCGTGATGCACACAGAATAATTGGATGTCGTTCGGGTGACAACAGAATGAAACGACAGTATAATCTCTAGATAACACACTGTTGAAAGGCAACAGGAATGTTGTATCGTTTAGGCATTAGCAATGCAATTAAAACCAATCAAAACCAAATAATGTTCACGAATATTATTAGCATACACCCTGTCATTTGAAGCTAACCTTCGTACGGCTGCATTCCTGATGTAAACACTTCCCATATGAGAATTCCAAATCTGGAAAACATAAATTTTGTTATGACAAATATTCAACCATGATTTAACATGAAAAAACTCTTTTATTATTGAAGCCATCTCGGAGAGTCTGCGCCTGGCTTAAAGTGAGTATTGATCTACTTTATTATTAATTAATTAGAATATATGGAGATTTTCGGGTTTTTGATTTTCTATTATTGTTCTTCGTGTTTTCGGATTCAAAACTGAGATTGTTTAAAATATCTACTCACGAGTACACGTCATCTTGTTTCGTAGGTGATTTAGAATTTTCCAACTGCTGTGGGGACATGTGAGTTACAGTTCCAAAGCCTCCTTTGCTTGTAACACTTGTTGATGTTATCTCTTTCCGTGCTTTGGACAACCCAAAATCACACAACTTAAACAGAATTTTTTTTTAGAACATGTATGTTTTCATATCTTGCAACTTAAAAAACATGTCATTTCAAGCATGAAGTTGCAAAATATACAAAATATATAAAAAGTATAAATAGATTCAACACATCGTTTTACCTTAACGTTGCAGTAACTATCAAGTAAAACGTTTTCAGCCTTAAGGTCCAAGTGTAGGATTATTGGGTTCATTTGATGTAAGAAGTTCATCGCAATTGCCACTTGATGTAAAATTCTGTATCTAAGCCTAATGGAAGTGTCTGGATAATGTTTCAACAAGCTGAAGTAAACAATTATAAGAATGGTTATGCTCATATATTATTTATATCTATATATATTGCAAAATGATACAATAAGACTGGTCAAAAGCCTATCTTATTGGAACATAAATTTATATTGCATTGATCGCCTTCTGGCTTGCTCACTTTTTTACTATAGTCACTATGGGTTGTTATGTACAGTTTCTAGCCTGCACGATTTTCGAAGTTTAACTGTACTTTATTTGAGTGTTGACTGTTTTTTGGAACGTGAGGTATCACGGATGGTCGAACTGAACCTTACAGTAGCACTAATCAGAATTATCTCTTACGTTTTAACTGACCCAGTTGGGCAGAAGTCCATTACAATCGCATAGTAATCTGTTTCTAAGACAATCCCGAATATGTGTACAACATTTGGATGTCTAGCATCGAACATATGATTGGCCTCTTTTATTAACATGTTTCGGTGTCTAAAATAAACAAAATACTGTAGCATCCGAGTAATCAAAAATGTCTGATGTCAGATGTTATGATAAACCTTTCAAATTTTGATCGATTTCGTTATTTGAAGGGTTTGCCATGCTCTTAAACAAGCTATAATTACAATTATCTCATAACTGTATCTTAATTTCGTACACATTATCTAGATTATCCCGTTGATTATACGCTAGACTTTAATATAAAACACTGATATATTTCCCTTTCATTTTTTCCATTTCAAGTACAAAGACAGTAAAATGGGACGTTGCTTAGTCTAACTAAATGTTTGTAAAAACGTATGTGCAGGAGGATTCGTAAAACTTCAACTACTTATTAGATACTATTTTTTTACCTTTCTGATATCGTTTCTCCACGATTTGCTTTAAACACCTTTACTGCAACTCGTTGATGAAGTTTCTCAAGTTTCCCAACATATACACTTCCAAAACCACCTTCACCAAATACTGCTCCTACTGTTAAATCTGTCTTTGTAAATACCGGGATGTTCCGCTTGAATTCTGCCATGCTGGATTCCCAACTGTGTTTGTATATCTTTATTGCCCTTTATGAAAAGGAGATACAAGTCATGTTATGATCAATGTTTAGGCATCTACAAAAAGTGAGATATCAATAAATAGTGTAGATAACAGAGTTTATGTTCATCAATTAAAACATCAACTAGGATAATGGTCATAATAAGATATTAGCTATAGGGAGTTAAAGCTTGCATATAAAATCGTACGTATGACCAATATTGCCCATGGTACAAATGCATCACTTAAATATTTTCCGTCCACGTTTAGGTTGTCAAAAACATTTCAAGCTTAAACTTCCTATTATGGTCCGTGACAATTCATATTTCAGCGGATGGACTGACATAGTCGGACTTGTAACGACATGTATAAAGGAAAAAATTAAGCGGCGAATTTACAACTCAATAACAAATAATGGAGAGGTTAAGCTAACGATGTTTTTCACAACGTAACCGTGAACGCAAAGTACAAAAATTAACAAAGGAATGTATCGAGCGCTCATAGTTTTATGCGCGCTTAGTCTACTTCAGATACTCTTTCAGCTTCAGAGTTTCGGGTTTAGAACGGGAGATTTGAAATTTGACGTTGGGTCAACGGGAACCATTTTACTCGTGTCTATTGAACACTATGCTGTCAATTTTGATTTCGATGCACAGTTGAATTCTTGCTGAACACGATGATGTATGTCATGCATGATTTAGCGCCAAAAATCTTACGAAACGAGCTCGTTTAAAATATGTATTAGAAAACCAGCTATAAAACCGCATCAATGACATACTATAGAATCATTACACGCTATGGTGTAGTCTAAACAAACACTGGATTTGAACGGCTATTTATATGAGAAGGCTACATGCTTTGTATATGGTCGAGTGATACGTACAGGTTCAGTTTCCATTAAATATGCAAAGCTTAACCTCTCCAGTTAATATAAATAACGTATTATCATACCGTTGTGTTTCTTGTATAGAAGGTCCATGGTTTTGCCTTGATCTAGTCACGTCAACGTCGTCTTAGTTGATGTTCAATTGTACATGTTGACTGGTTGACATACGATTATGTAGGACGTGATATCTGAAAGTACAGGTACAGAAAATGTTCCTTCAGTCCCGCTTCTTTGAAAATGGCACTGTTTTAATCACGGCGTGGATCGTGTCCGTGGACATATTTCCATTTGAATATCTGATACATAATGAGAATATGAAGATCTATTAGAACTGATGAATATTCGAGTTAAGGGTGCATGTTAGGAATGCAGAAAAATTCGGAACATGCCCCTGACCTTAAGGGAACTTTCTAATATCTGCTATGCTAACTGACCCGAATTAGCCAACTCGATGAAACTGGTACTGACTACACCTACTGCTGGTATCTGGATTAGGCCTATTGAGTCCCTTGAATTGTACATGAGATCTATCGTGTTTTTAAAGTGCAAGAACTAGTGCCTTGGGATAATTGATACCATGAGTTATGTTATACAAGTACATGTACATTCTTTCACTCGGAGTGAATTGTTCGAACCCAGAAAACAATCATTTTTAGAAAAGTACCTAAGGTCAATACTCATCACAAAAGAATTCCTCGTAGTGTTTTTGCATTGCGATCACAAGATTTTTCAACCTACACGGTCTAAATGTGCTTGGCTTCATAGTTAAGAAGAGATTCGATAAAATATGATCAGAATGTATTAGTCAATTTCTACCGGAAGTGACACATGTGATCAAGAGCGTAATCGGGCAGAGTGTAAACAATCAAAATGACAAGTCGGGAGTAGGCTATGTGACAGTTTTGTGACGAACTTACAAATCTTTAATCTCGGAAACTATGCAGGTGTTTTTAGAGTGAACTGGTAGATATAGACTGACATAATGCATCTTTTCGGCCTTTCAACTAGTATTCGATTTTCGTACTGTTCTCCGAAGCGGCGCCGGGTTGGCGATGACGTGCAAGATTAACGGTCCGTCGGTCCTGGCGTCAGTACTACTGTAGATCTACAATTGGCTTCAGATGTCAATCTGGAGAATCACTTCTCGTTTCATTAGTTATTTTAATTCAACACTTATGATTTAAATGTTCCATCCAACTGCCCCCCCCCCCCAGCAAAAGAAAATAGTTCAAACCTTGAGGATTTTCGCGGAATTGGAACTTATGAGAAAACAATTTTGCAAAGATCCTTTCAAATGGTCAGATGATACTAGTCCGATCCCATTATTTAGATCCCTTACCACCAAACACATCCTAGAGGCTTCTCATCATAATCAATTTCGACGGCGACAGCGGATATGTACATATAGGTACGGGTCTTAACCCGAAGTTGACGACCACATTTTTCAGTTTCAATATAAAAATGACTGAATTATTTTTTGGATGCCTGCAAGGGACGAGGTTATACTCAATTGTTTACAAATTAAATCCCATAGATCCAGATGAATTCTATTTTGAACTCGTTTACTTACTCGTTTAACATTGCAATCTCGTGTCCCATGGTGCCCGTTATATACGTGGATATTCCCCCAGGCTACCACCAGGTGTTTTTTCAAAATTTATATTTTAGAAGATTTGTGCAAAAAGCTCTTTTGAAACATCCGAAGATAAGGTAAACACCCCACCAGGATGCGAAATTGTAAGCCGTTTTTGTACAATTTTGGATATGTCATTTTGAAGGTAATAATAGGTAATAGCATATACGTGTTAAGAGCTTATGAGTGGACCTAGTGATCCTGGAAGGAGTGCACACTGAGAAAAATTGATATTTCAAAGAGGCCTTATCATCTACCCCATATATACTGGTGTTTATATACCATTCGCCTTCTATATAATAATCTTGATTTGTAGTATAGAACTAAGCTGTACATGTAAAACATATACGCTTGTTTTTAAAGTGTGCGCCCGACCTGGCTACGTATATAACAGAGTTTATACTGGCGGATTAGACTAGTTCATTTTTTATATGTGTGTGAAAGCTTTCTCTTATTTTTTTTTTTTTTCGTTTAGTACGGTTTTGTTATAATTGCCGAGGTCATATAACCGGGATAAAACAATGATTATCGTTGAGTGCGCACACACAAAACATTTACGTCGAGTGCAACAGTGTTATTAAAAACAACAAGCTTTAGAATACAAAGCCCAGTAGTGTGATAATAAGCTGTACACTACCACTGCTGCATGTACATATTAAGGCTCATAAAGAGTGGATAGGGAGGTTGTGTTTGTCACTTTTAAATTTTACATTTCAAAATTGCCATTTTACATGTCATAATTTCTTGGTTTCATTCGTTTAGCCGATCAAAACATTGTAAAACAATAAATCGTCTGTTACGTATAATCAATTTTGTTCAGTTTTGATTAGTTGTCAGAATGAAGTTACGTTCATTTGAATCCATGTTTCAAAACAAAAATCATATTTTCTTCACTTCAAAATACTTCATTGAGATGAATGCTCGGAATTGTCGTTTGCAATAACTTATTAGAAGCATTTAGTCGTACATTTGATGCCAGGTCACCTTCTCGCGTACCTCTTGGGGAGCCCCACATTTGTGTCTGTACACATGGAAGTAAATTCCCCGGTGTAGCCGAGAGCCACAAACTTTCAACAGGTTCGAAATGGCCAATTTCTCTCATATTTGTATACTCATATTTTATTAATTATCACCTACAAAGTATTGCTAATAACTATATGTAATTTCAATAAGGAAACTTATCTGGCTACATGTAAATTCAATATCAACACTAGATGTTTGCTCAACACGTCCTGGCTTACCTTGTGATGACAAACCCTGGGTTTTCGCTATTTATAGTTTATCAACACCTGGACGCATGCGCATTTTATAGTTTATCAGGCACTTTAAAGGTTTGGGATTTCGGGAACATTAAAATGGATAAATTGCAGGTATTACCATATATGATGCATATCGTTTAGTCCGCGATGGACAACCCAAGACACTTGAGGATTTAGAACTTTAAGTCAATAAAGGAAAGTCTAGTTATTGTGAGGCACTGTGAGGAGGCGAGAACAATTGAATCATGTGACATATATGATATTCGAACATGACTGTATTCACGCCTTCTATAAACTGTAAACAAAGTCAATGCTTCAGCTGGGTTAAATTCGAGATCAATAACCCAGTTAATACATGTAATGTGTGACGTCATAACGATGGGTCGTAGTAATGGCGGACCATGATGAATATTCGAAACAATTTGGTGAGTGTTCATGTTCGAATCGTAATATAGACCTCAGAGCAGGGGTAATATCGTCGACTACACCCCTTGGGGCTAGGGACAAAAGCTTTCGAACCCCTTCGGTCGTTCGGGGTACAGAAAACAATTGTGCCTAGCCCTGCGGGATGTATTCGACGATATAACCCCTAAGTAACAAATGACCAATGTAGATGTTATTGTGGTGACCAAGGTGACAAAGATTTGAAATTAATGTTACGTGATTTTAGTATGATGAGCAATGCTGAGATAGATGATTCTTTTTTGACCTAATTTTAACATCACTTGATGCAAGATGGATCTGGATTATTGTCTAGGATAGAACGAAGGACATATTTTCTGCTTGCTTCAAAAGGCAAAATTACATCAATCTTACCTTCAAAATAAACATGAATCTCGTTCACTGTTGTCCTATCTACATGTATATCCCGGCCCAAACATAAATTCAAGTTCATGATGAAACGCTGTTGGGATGCAATGAACACCAATCTACATGTACCCTGTCTATGGCTCTTGTGTACAAATCAATACTATACTAAAGTACTACTTGTCAGTCTATAAGATGAGTCATCTTGACATTACAAAAAAAGAAAAGTGGAAGTAGACTGTGCTATTCTTACTCTGTTTATTCGTTTTATGAAGAAAGTAGTTCTTTTGAAAGTAGTTCTTTTGTTACTGTTTGGGGACTTCAGTGGTATACAGCAGCGTCATCTTTAGATAGAATGAAATGTGTAATTGATTACTGAGAGGCATGTGATAAGAACAGAGGGTAAATATTTGGGATTATTTTATGCGGAAGTGCTTGGGAGTGGTGAAATGATCAACTTCCATAAATATGATGAGGTTTTATTATGCCATCTATAAAAAAGAGCAGTCTTCGTCCGATAGTTTATAACTAGACTCCGTGCGCAAGGTAAATTGTACTGGAACCAACTAACAAATTAAGGATTGTATCATTCTTTAGAATAAGGCGTTGATTCAAAGATGTGGAATATTTTGTTTTCTTATTTCAAAAGTAATGATAAGAAAAATACCATTGAGCAACGATAGCCTGCAGGTTGCAAAGTTTTCCTTTAATTTTGTTTAAACAATATGCCCTTTTTCTCAAGCAATGTTTAGGTAAAATACAAACCCACTCACAAAGAACAATTTCCAAGAGATCATGACGTACATGTATTACAGAGAGTGTAAGATTATGAAAGAGGTTAGAGTTCAATTGAAGACTTACCAAATTAACGGTAAATGTCACATTTGAAGGTCATTATATCCATGATCAATTCCAACAAGAACTAAAGTACCAACTTATTTGAAATAGTTCTTATATGTAAGCACGAAGATTAAATCTTTTCAAAACATTTTTGCAGCATATTGCAAATGTCTTCTAAGTTGGTGGCCTATAAAGTTTCGACAGATTTCAATAACAAATATCCGAGTTACTCAAAATTGTATTTTTCCATGAAAATGGTGACCAATTTGGAACTTTGTTTCAGTTTTTTCAGCAGAAACCCTATTCCCGTAAGATCTGAGCTTATGAAATTTCGACCAAATATGATATCAAAAATGGGACTATTATCTACAAATGGCGGCCATTTTGAAAACTGGTAGACATCATGAAAATTCTCTTTGTATCAGTATGTCTTGTCCTTACCCAAAACCTATAAAATTTGAACTAATGGCATGGATTTGAGTTGAAGAAAAATTATGGCCATTTCAAATTAACAAGCCAAATATATCACTAACTCTTGACATATTCGTACCGTGTCATAATATGTCTTCAACGACTGGTTTTCAGACACATTTCAAACACAGGACTAAATTACTACTGGATAAACAGAATAATTGATGACCGGACTAAATAATTAACTCGATTGTTATCAGATGGTATTTTGTGTATTCATTGCATAAAATATGATCTAGGTAGTATGTTCACATGGACATACGGATTTTACATCGACATAATGGTTATGGAATATAAAAATATTTATTTATTGATTGTAGATGCTTGCAGGCATCGTAGAAAATATGCAATCACATATTGAATCATCCACGGGTGTCTGTTCAGATACATGTTTTCCCAGATATCATCCTTATGTGACGTAGCATATTTAGTTCCGGGATTTGGTTCCCGTTTGCAAATAATATTTCTATGAATTGAGATGATGTAAGATCTTTCTTCATGACATGGTTCGTTAAGATAAATCCCATCTTTGTGTCAATGACCTTGTCAGATATATCTCCTAAAATAGATCATCGTTTCTTTGCGTGTATCACCTTCTTCTTCATTGTTATAAAAAACGAGACCAATATATGACTCTGCATAACCATATGCTTCTAAGCTTGCATTTGACTGTGCACTTCATACAGCCCGCACGTAGCTAACAATGTTCAACGGGGCTCATCTCCTCTGATAAGATTTACAGGACGATATCATAATCTATTTTTTTCATGTTCATGCCAAGCTTGATCAAGTTGGTATCGTTACTGTACGGGGAGGTCTTTTGTCGAAGCAGTACTGTGTCCTGTTACCATCAAGCTCTGCGTCTTCTGGTACATCACGATAACGCTATAAAACAATACAACATGACCTGATCACTGCCACAAAACAATAGCAAATATATCGAATAACAAAATATAACACGTAAGCAAAGAAGTAAAAGTAGGGATGGACAACTCATGTCAACTTCTAAATGCTTAAGCTTATAATTACAAAGGGGGCGTTAAAAGGAACATTTTATACCAACAAATCTATGTACTAGACAGTGTAACAAATATCAAATTGCAGAAGCTGCGTGTACGTACCCAATGGGGCAAGGTCATCAGTTTATTGTAAAGCTCTTCTCCTGGACTCATGAAAGGCCGAACTTGGCATTGACCATATAATATATAGTTTGGCATCAAAAAGTTATTAACGACGCCATAGTGGAGGATTTCTTCAAGGGCTTGAAGGGCTTTGTCATCGGGTAGTCGAAGCCGGAAATCGCCAATAAATGCAATTCCAATGGCTTTTCCGTTCCAACTAAAAATGAAAGAATATAATTATGGATCTCAATATCTTATTCTAACTAATTGCTCCTTTCATTTGTCAACTAACAAAACAAATTAAAGCAACATTAAATAGTATTACATGCCCGGGACTACATGTATTTACAATTAAATGCCGAACACTATTTTCTTACCTCCGAGTGTGCGCTCCCTCTACTTCCCATCCTCGTCCTTCGTAGACAACTCCATAGCTACCTATTAGAAAGTTGTACCCAATATCAGACCACCCTAAAAATTAATGCTTATCATAACTTGTCTGTAAAAAAGTTTAAGTAAACAGTTTGTCGAATTGAGTCGAGGATTTGAAAATGGATATATACTGCTTTAGATGTTACCATTTGCTTGCTCTTGTAAAAGAGACTTTTTGTCTGTCTCATATCATTTGCCGTATCGTATGGCTACTACAGTAACTAAAATTATTTTCTACGAGAAGTCTTTTTTATTTTTTTAGTTTGATCTTCAACACATGGCATCATGTCCCAATGCCCCTGGTTTTGGATTACGAGATCCATTTCAGAATTGTTTGGGAGAGGGTAATATATTGTATGTATTATTTCATTGGTCGTTAGATAATATAATCGGATTTTGTTATCTTAAAACTATTTAAAATAGTTCATATTTATTTGTAGAATTTGTAATAAATGCTATATAAACTTGTATGTACAGGGTGTCCCAGAACTCATGAGAATTTTTTGAGGGAGATATAAGGCATAGGTGATTTTTCTTCAAATTTGGTACATGTATTAAACACACTTTGGGGAATAACTGACATGAATTTCAGGCACATATCTTTTTATGGACATTTAGATTCTACATCGCCACAAACCCCGGAGTGTTGTCAGGAAAATACAACAGTTTATGTCACATTTTGTCAATTTTATACAAATTCTCAACTATAAAACCAACATTTTTTGTATAAGCTTAGTTGAGCATTTTTCTCATATTGATGATGCACTGAAACGCTAAAATAATTTAATGAAAAAAATACTATTATATTAGAGAAGTTGTGTAAATATTACCAAAATGTGACGTAACTTTTTGTATTTCTCTGACTACTCCGGGGTTTGTGGTGATGTAGAATTCAAATGTCAATAAATTCAGAAAAATAAAAGATATGTGCCTGAAATTCATGTCAGTTACTCCTCAATGTTTGTTTATTAAATGCACTTAATTTGAAGAAAAATCATACATGCCTTATATCTCCCTCAAAAGATTCTCATGAGTTCTGGGACACCCTGTATATCAGGTATGTGTACGATGCAATAAAAAGAGTTGATCGATGACATCTCGATTACTTTACCACATGAGCCCAGTACCCATGGTACTAGTTATATCTTCACCATCTCACAGAAGCATGTGTCATTTAATGTTTGATGTGACAGAATACTAACTATTCTTATCCATATGTAGATTTTGTGTCTCAACAACGCTCTGGCAACAGTCGATCATTTCAACACAATCCAGACCAGCTGTATGCATGATGATGACGTACTGAGTTGGCGTTTTGAGTGGAGTCGGCTTATCAATCCGAGGTCTCGCACCCCATGCATCTCTACTCTTATATCGGAACATTCCAGAATCCACTAAAAATAACAAATGAATAATATGTAAAATGATCGAATCGTCGTTTTACAAGCAGTAGCAAACTGTAATTGAACATTAAGAGCCAAATCTATGAACTACAAATGCATTCATGTACATTCAATATTAATAGTATGGTATGGTATGGTATGGTTCTTTATTTCCTCCAATTTGGAGAGCAAATTAATTCAAAAGACAAATTATTTGCTTACTGTTGATTTTAAGTTCCGCCTTTTCAGCACATTTAGATGTTTCATTGGGTTTGGACAGGTATATTCCTACAAATACCGACACACCAACTGACAGCAGAACAAAACAGAGAATAATGAGAATCATGAATCTATTGAACTTTCGAGTGGGAGTGAAGTCTGCCGCCATTGTTGTTCTGATGAATTCTTCTTTTAATTGTGAGACTGCTTTGGAATACTCTTGTTTTAGTTCTGGTATTTCAGAAATTGACACACGGTCCCTATATTTCCGCATTGATTCAGGAGTTTGTCCCATCCTTAACAAAATCTCAGTGATTTCATTGAAAAGTCGCTCAAATTCACTTTGACTCAGATCTGTCTTTGATTTGTGTATTAATTGATGACGTAAATGTCTCAATCTGATGACGTCATGTTCGGGCTCGAGCTCGTCCTCTTGTGGATATTTGCGCCAATCTAAATCGCCCTTGTTGACGAGATTCTTGATTAAGATGAACAGCAATGCCTGATCAAATTCATAAGGATCTGCAGCACATGATGGTGGGTATAGAGTATTAAACTGATTCTGGGTCAACATCTCGCGTTCACGCAGAAGTCTGAAGCGTGTCTTATATTTATTGTTACGTAACAGATCGCATATGTTATCATATCCAGATGGTAAGTTATTCAGGAGATAGTTTCGTATCTGTATGGTCCCCTCCTTCAATAGTAAACAACATAAACGTCCATAATAAAACTCGGAAGCATCTGGAAATAAATTCGTGTGTCATATCAATTAACGTTCATTGTTACCATTAAGACACTTATAAGAATACCTTGAAAATAGTTTTAGTCTTACCTATTACATGCTCAGTAAGAACACTTTTTCTTCCACATGTGAGATCAGACATATCGATTTTCACATCGTTTGCATTCTCGCCTTCCAATGTATCCTTTAAGAGTGTTGCACAATCCTCTCGACCCATCGATAATGTGTAGTCGTGTAGATCAGTAAGGAGGTCCTTGGTACCTTTTCCCGTACGTGTCTTATATAACAAGAGCAGCGCCTGTGTTGGATTCTTCTCGCGCTCAATGTTACGTATCTCCAAAAACGTGAATCCCATCTTATCGGCAAGCATTCGCCAATCATTGCCGAAAATATCCGGGGGATTGAGCAACATGCACAATCTTCGCATGGTGTCATAGTCAACGAAGCTCAAAACTTCCGCAGTCTTTTTAGAAAGGCCTTGCCCTTTAAGAGGTATTGCGGCGCTCGTGCCTCCATTGATAGTTTCCCCTACAATTATAACAATCAAATGTACTAATCTTATATTTTCAGAATCAATGTGCATAACGTGCTCCACCTGCGCTTACTTAACATCAGTCATTGTAACAACTGCTAAGCCTTGACCAGAAGCTATTGCAACGACCCTCGGGCATGCCCGTTGGGGAGCTCTAGTGTACCGAGCCAGATACTGGACTCAAAAGAGTGTGTGCTAAATACAATACAATGGGAATCAAACCCAGGACCCTCCGCTCTCGAGTCAGACGCTCTACCCCTGATTATGAGCCATAAGGGCTAGCCACTGCAGCTGAGACTGTAGTAGCGACTTGCTATCGAAGGTCATTACACCATGTTCATTATTTAATGATATTTTTTATATTATACTATATCGATGGAAGAGTCTCGCCAGCGTGGACATTTTTTTTTGTTGTTTCCAGTAGTAGTTATTGCTTTTACCCTGTTTCGTTGGTAAACTCTTTCTTTTGACACCCAATTGCCAAGCTCATTATGCAACCAAATGACTTGCTTTTGTGCTTTATTGCACTTGACTTGTCATATTTACTCAGGGTGTCCATTGTCTTTTTACATGTATCACAAACTATGTATTGTAAAGTGACTTCATGAACACTCTGTACATGTTCTACTTATTCACCTGTTGTAGGTTAATATAAATATCTGTCTTCTACCATTATGCAATATGCAATTCACATTTCGTGCAATATTTGTATTTGTTGTAATATTTGACCATATGCAACATGCTACTCATATTTAGTGCAATATATAGAGGATATCCTATGATTTATGAGTGATATGATTTTTATCCACGAATGGATATGATATCTGCACGAGCGAGCGTAGCGAGAGAGTGCAGATATCAATATCCATGAGTGGATTAAAATCATATCACGAGTAAATCATAGGATGTTCTTTTTATTCCATAGTTAAAGTCATCGTCAGAATCGTCGGAAATTAAGTGATTTAATTCGAATTTTCCAAACGATCCGGCGATGTTGACACTTAGCCTCGTTTTGAGTCTGAAGTAGCAAAAATCCATAAACCATCGCATACGACGTCGTATGTCATGGCTAAAAAACCGTATGCTATGGTTAAGTGAAACTTTGTCAAAAATATCATATTTCACCACTGATTACAAAAATACCGTTTTTATTTTCACATGTTATCCTATGAATATCATGCTAACTATGGAATAAATGTATTTATTATGCAATATCCATCTTACATTAGGTGCAATATATTGTATTGAATGAAATGATTGACAATATGATTCCATGAACTGCTTATTTATGCCAAACTGATTATAAGAGTTGTAAATTGATATCATTGGTTATTAATGTATAAATCTTTACCAGAGACATTATATGTCTCTGTCTTTATGAATGTTGACCCAAGCTGCCCATTGGGGGTAGTAATGGGTGACACTTAGATATAATGTATACTGTGTCTCATAAGTCGGCACCGGCTGGTGATGTTACAAAATGTTGTTTTTATTATGTATTTTATATGTATATTGTAATATCAGTGACACAAAAATAAACTATTTTAAACTAAAACTAAACTATAAAGTTGAAATGCAAGAAAATTATAGTAAACAAATCAAGAAAATAGATATAAAAAGACTTAAACTCGTTCCCGTGTGTTTTTGTAAAATCACATAAAAACGTTTTCCTATCCAATATATGAGTGCAATTGTTCATAGAAAAAAAGTGAACTTTGTCAACATACAACGATAACCTGACAATGAATCAATATACATAATATTTACCCGAATTGTTTGTTTTAGTCTCAACTTGTCATTTAATAGTACTTAGTAAAAGTTTTGCATGAATTTATCAGCAGATACTAAGACAATGGCTACCCTTTGTCCATGGGTATTCCAATTCACTATGACCTGGAACAGTGAATGCCCCATTACCCTGCGTGCAGAGTCTAGTTAAACTAAGACGAACCTCTCTTTTAAGAAGTGAAGTCAAACGAATGCAAAGGGTAATGCCCCATCTTGAAGGCTGACACTGGCTAACTAACAATTCTTGAATTTATTTCAGCTTGAAATAGAAGATCGTCAAACATAAATAAATAATGTTCAATATAGTATACTATATGAAATTTGGCATAAATTGGTAAATAGTCAGACCCTTAGCCAGGGGGGGCTCGAATTCTACATCTGGCAGAAAAAATTCTGAAACATGCAGTTTTCATATATGAATACAAAAAATGAAATGTCACATTTTAACCCACTTGAACTTTTTACCCCCTCCACTTGGCAAAAGCTGCTTACTGGCTTGTTATTGGTTTTATTTGGCCTGTGTCTAACATCGGTATTGGAACTCATTCTATGCTGGGCTTTTATAAAGTCTATATTATTAGGTCACCGTGACATATCACATCCTCCTTCTATCAGTCTCTTTTTCTCATAGCGGGCAAATTATTGGTAAACTAAAAAACAGTTAGATCAGAATGCAATCTTTATTATACTAAACTTCAATAGATATCTACCTGAATCAGGAATTAATTTCGAGCGTTCTGTCTGTTCCGTTGTCTTCATATTTGTCTCCTTGAACTACCTCCCCTGGTTCTTTATTAAAGGTAAAATTATGATGATGACAAAACGTCTAAATTGAACCATTCAAGTCGATATATTCCAGGCTTATCAACAAGGAAGTATTTCTTTCGACAATCATGGCATTTCTGAGATCACTTTTATTTGCGCATGCTCTGTGGCACGACTTCACAAGTGAACACGGATGTCTTCACAATCAAAAAGCAAATACAATATGTGTAGCGGATTAATGAAATACACTTCTGTTAACCATCGAGTGAAACTTTTTGCAACACTTAAGTAATAAAGTGAGACATAAATTCAATGATGTTAACAATCATGTTTGATTATTCTCACTGGTGAGATTTTTTGATTTCATTTTAGAGTGATAAAATGATAGCAATGGAGTTGTAAATTATCAGGGTGACAATGTCACGGTAACACTACATTGGGTAAATAGTTGAAAAATACGTTTTTCGAAACAATGAATTGCATTCACTCTCACAGACAAAAAAACTGACAGTTGTTTGATACTTAACATGCCTTCCTCCTCACTGAGGTTAAAAAACTAAAACAAGTTTAACCTAGATAATGATCCATACATTGGATTTACTCGTATGACCTTCTGTGTTTCTTGAAGCTCTCTACGGAAAGTATATATCAAAAACGTGAAGTGCCGGATATGATATTTATGTCTTATCGTATTATTGCCATTATTTCATTTTGTGTGTCACAACTACAATATTTATGAATTTTTTAAATGGTCGGGCTTAACATCATGTGCGAGCTGGAGTGCCAATAATGACAGGCTCGGCTACTGTAGTTATTACCCATGAGATAAAGGTCAATGTTATCCCATAGTTATGTTAGACAGTGACCACACTGTTCTCTAAAGACGACAATCACACGAGATGGTTAGTAATGTCGTATAACAGCAGATAAGATTTGTAAACGTGTTTTTTTTGTTTTATAGATATTTTATTGCGACCATATCTGATCATAATATAAACATTGACAACTCAAGACGTTCTTACGCAATAGACTTCAATACTAACAAATCATCAAAAAGATCAAAGGATAAATACTCACCGTCCGCCGGAACATGGCTGTATACCACGGTATATCCCGAGACCATTCTCAATTGAAAGTATAAAACGACTTATTAAAATCTATGACAATAAGTGTACTTGGAAACCTATTGACTTACCGGACATGACTGTTTTCCAGTTACTAATTTATCACTTCAGATGATTTCGTTCAGTGTATCATTGCGTGTCCCTGACCACCATATATGAATTATAATCCTAGCATCTACATTGGAATCATTCATACAGCATAATGTAGTACACTTCTCTTGGTACAGACAATGCATAAGCCGTAGGACGTCGATGATTAGTTCAAGTTGCTGTGAGATGAAGATGTTGTAACTTAATATGTGCAGTTAGTTTTAAGTTCTCAACTTCCTCTTTTCCTATATATAAGTCATCAAGTAGAGAGTGTACAAACAATAAACAAGTGGCCTGAAATCTCCAGTTAGTACAGTCCATAGTGCATTGTAAAAATGCGAGGTTATTGTAGGCTAAATAAATATATTTGATCTATTAACCTAATTTGTTCTATCATTTCAGTTCATATATTCTTCTTTGATTCATCGATGAGCCTCTAGAAATGGTCATCACGCCCTTATACAAGTACATATCCTACTAATTGCATGTTTATGTTATTGTTAGCATAACTTCTATGAAACGTTGCAGTGTATTAGTTAAGTCATATAGTAATATACGAACACAGAGATAAGTCGTGGAGTATTATAGTATTTCAAACAGGATCAATGTATTCAATTACTGATATAAAATATCATATATCATGCACTTGTTAACAAATGTTGAAATAACTTTTAAGCAGGCGAATCTAGTTTTATTAAGTCAATATTACAAGGTCAAAACATGATAATTAAACACGTAAACAAACAGTTATAAGTGTTATTCAGAAAGCTTCACCAGTAAACAAGGAATGTTTGGTATGATACCAGTAATATGTATGCACCTTGTAAATACATGTCATACGAGTATGTACCTTGCAAATTGCAATAGAACACGATATTTCAGATCTGATTATTAGTCCCGAGCCCGACAAATGTTTTTCACAGAGCGGGATATAATGAATCACAGATACACTGTCACGTAATTTTATAGGGCTCGCGGGATAGTCGCAATTGCAAACACCTTTATCCCGTATGAGCACTTTGTAGCACTGAGCCTCGGGACAGTCAGTTTCTCAAACTCACTGTCCCGTAATTTTTTTTTTGCAAACGTCGGGATATAATTGATTGAGAACTGACATGTCCCGGCGCTGGGTAAAAAAATTTGCTGCGGGATAAAGTGATTTCAGAACTTGACTAATGCTGATCAAAGTATATGCTATCAAGCCATCACACATCTCTATGTAATTACCATACTATATAACCCTTGCAAAAAATTTCCATTTTTCATCATTGTACTGAATTATATCAACATCAGTCTTTAATCTTTGAAATGTTGCTAAAGTCTATTGGGAGGGGTGGCATGTACACACTTGATTCATAATGCTATTGTTTGTGTGTGGGGGAGGGGGCATCTCCACACTTGACTCATATCATGGTCTATAAGAATCACAACTGTCACACATCATCATTCCATCTGGTATCATTTAAGTATCTATGAATATGATTTGTAGTATGTACATCAATCCTTGTGCGCCATCTTGTATCATATATTATGCCTATTGTTGTATATGTCTTTTTATTTTTTCATCAGCTAATATATATGTATATAAATCCTGGGGATGTAATGTTGTCATTTCTCAAGCCATCTCATATCATTTATCATCCTAATTGTTCATCTGTCAACAGCTCCTTCCAGTGAATTAAATAAAAGTTGTTTTTCACGATAAATACAGGTGAAGTATTGCGGCAATTCCACATGCAATCTGTTTTTCCATCTATTCCCTGCTGTTATTCCACCATATTCTATCTATATGTTTTTGACATGCTGATTACCCATGTCATACATCCTGAAATAAGCAAATAAGATTCATTTACCAAATATGAACAAAATCGCTCCACTACTTTTCAATTTAAAGTTAAAAAAGTAAAAATGGTCGCCATTTTTCAAAATGGTCGTCTACTACCCAAAGTGTCATTAGAAAGTGCGCCATGCTTAAAGTATTCACATATAAAATATGAACAAAATCGCTCTACTACTTTTTGAGTTATAGTAAAAAATGTAAAAATGGTCGCAATTTTTCAAAACGGTCGCCTACTACCCAAAGTGTCATTAGACAGTGTGCCATGCTTATAGTATTTACATACCAAATATGAACAAAATCGCTCCACTTCTTTTCAATTTATAGTTATGAAAGTAAAAATGGTCGCCATTTTTCAGAATGGTCGCCTACTACCCAAAGTGTCATTAGACAGTGTGCCATGCTTATAGTATTCACATACCAAATATGAACAAAATCGCTCCACTACTTTTCAGTTTATAGTTATAAAAGTAAAAATGGTCACCATTTTTCAAAATGGTCGCCTACTACCCAAAGTGTCATTAGACAGTGTGCCATGCTTAAAGTATTCACATATAAAATATGAACAAAATCGCTCTACTACATTTTGAGTTATAGTAAAAAATGTAAAAATGGTCGCCATTTTTCAAAATGGTCGCCTCCACCAAAAGTGTTATTCGACAGTGTGCCATGCTTATAGTATTCACATACCAAATATGAACAAAATCGCTCCACTACTTCTCAATTTATAGTTATAAAAGTAAAAATGGTCGCCATTTTTCAAAATGGTCGCCTACTACCCAAAGTGTCATTAGACAGTGTGCCATGCTTATAGTATTCACATATAAAAATATGAACAAAATCGCTCTACTACTTTTTGAGTTACAGTAAAAAATGTAAAAATGGTCGCCATTTTTCAAAACGGTCGCCTACTACCCAAAGTGTCATTAGACAGTGTGCCATGCTTATAGTATTCACATACCAAATATGAACAAAATCGCTCCACTACTTTTCAATTTATAGTTATAAAAGTAAAAATGGTCGCCATTTTTCAAAATGGTCGCCTACTACCCAAAGTGTCATTAGACAGTGTGCCATGCTTATAGTATTCACATACCAAATATGAACAAAATCGCTCCACTACTTTTCAATTTATAGTTATAAAAGTAAAAATGGTCACCATTTTTCAAAATGGTCGCCTACTACCCAAAGTGTCATTAGACAGTGTGCCATGCTTAAAGTATTCACATATAAAATATGAACAAAATCGCTCTACTACATTTTGAGTTATAGTAAAAAATGTAAAAATGGTCGCCATTTTTCAAAATGGTCGCCTCCACCAAAAGTGTTATTCGACAGTGTGCCATGCTTATAGTATTCACATACCAAATATGAACAAAATCGCTCCACTTCTTTTCAATTTATAGTTATGAAAGTAAAAATGGTCGCCATTTTTCAGAATGGTCGCCTACTACCCAAAGTGTCATTAGACGGTGTGCCATGCCTATAGTATTCACATACCAAATATGAACAAAATCGCTCCACTGCCTTTCGAGTTATAGTAAAATACATTAAAATTGTGGCCATTTTTCAAAATGGCCGCCTTCTACCAAAAGTGTCATTAGACAGAGTGCCATGCTTGTAGTATCCATATACCAATTATGGACAAAATTGCTCCACTACTTTTCGGGTTATGGTAAAATACGTTAAAATGGTGGCAATTTTTCAAAATGGTGGTCATTTTTCAAAATGTCCGCCTTCTATTAAATGTGTCATTAGACAGTGTGCCATGCTTATGGTATTCACATTCCAAATATGAACAAAATTGCTCAACTACTTTTCAAGTTATAGTAAAATACGTTAAAATGGCCGCCTTCTACCAAAAGTGCCATTAGACAGTGTGCCATGCTTATAGTATCCACATACCAAATATGAACAAAATCGCTCTACTACTTTTCGAGTTATAGTAAAATATGTTAAAATGACGGCCATTTTTTAAAATGGCCGCCTTCTATCAAAAGAGTCATTAGACAGTGTGCCATGCCTATAGTATTCATATTCCAAATATGAACAAAATTGCTCCACTACTTTTCAAGTTATAGT